AGGTTAAGATGATTCAGGATAGACTCCATACAGCCCAGTCCAGGCAAAAGAGCTACGCGGACAGGAAGGTTCTTTATGTTTCGTATATGGTTGGTGAGCGGGTTCTGCTTCGGGTTTCGCCTATGAAAGGCGTCATGAGGTTTGGGAAGAAAGGGAAGTTGAGTCCGAGGTTTATTGGCCCTTTTGAGATTTTGAGGCGAGCTGGGGAGGTTATTTATGAGCTTGCCTTACCTCCCAATTTGGCCGGGGTTCATCCGGTATTTCATATTTCGATGCTCCGGAGGTATCACGGTGACCCGTCACACGTGTTGGATTTTAGTTCAGTCCAGTGGGACAAGGATCTATCCTATGTTGAGGAGCCAGTGGCTATATTGGACAGGCAGATCAAAAAGTTGAGGTCAAAGAACATTGCTTCAGTAAAGGTTCATTGGCGGGGTCAGCCGGTCGAGGAGGCGACCTGGGAGACCGAGCAGGATATGCGCAGTAGTTACCCTCATCTTTTCACTACTTCAGGTATGTCTTTATGCTCGTTCGAGGACGAACGAATGTTTAAGTGTAGGAGGATGTGACGACCCGGCCGGTCGTCTTAAGAATTAATGCCCCGATCCCCTATTAACTTCTCTCCCCAAGTCTATTTATGCTAATTTGAATTGCCGGGATGTTCGGTTTTGAGTTTCGGAGAGTTTTGGGACACTTAGTCCCTAAATGAGAGCTTAAGCGTTGGAAAGTTGCGTAGTCGGAACAGTGTGAAGACAGCCTCGAAATGGAAATCCGATGGTTCCGTTAGCTCCGCTAGGGGATTTCGGGGTTGGGAGCATGTTCGGAATGTGTTTTGGAGGTCCGTAGCTGATTTAGGCTTGAAATGCCGAAGTTTGAATTTTTGAAGTTTCCGGTCCGATAGTGAGATTTTGATCCGAGGGTCGGAATGGAATTCCGGAAGTTGCAGTAGCTCTGTCATGTCATTTGGGATGTGTGTGTAAAATTTCAGGTCATTTGGATGAGGTTTGGGTAGGTTTTTGATCGAAAGCGTGTTTTGTTAGAATTTGAAGTTCTTAGGCTTAAATCATTGGTTAATTCGAGTTTCCGACGTTGTTTTAGGTGGTTTAAGGGTTGGTACAAGTTTGAATGATGTTATGGGACATGTCCGTAGGTTTGGTTGAGGTCCCGGGGGCCTCGGGTGTGTTTCGGATCCTCAACGGGATATTTCCTCCTATTTTTGAACTGTTGGTTCTGCTTCTGGTATGCCTCTATCGCGTTCGCGAGCTGCCCTTCGTGTTCGCGAAGGCTTAATTTGACCACCTGGAATTTTTCTCTTCGCGTTCGCATAATCCTTCCCGCGTTCACGAAGCCCCGCTTACTTCCCCATCGCGTTCGCGTAAGCTGTCACGCGTTCGTGTAATTGCGCTAGTCCGTTCATCGCGTTCGCGAATGCTCTCACGCGTTCGCGTAGGGTATATCCTGGACCTCGCTATTTTTCTTCATCGCGTTCGCGTTCCAGACGTCGCGTTCGCGTAGCTTCGTGATCCCAGGCCTTCACGTTCGGGTTATCCCCCTCGCGATCGCGAAGGGCATTTTTGGCAGCTTTAATTTTTCTTCTTCGCGAACGCGACCTTACATCCGCGTTTGCGATGCATAATGGGCCTGGGCAGTTATAAACATTTCAAAACTGAGGGTTTGCCATTTTTATAAAAACACAAGCTTGGGAGCTCGGATTTGGGAGAGATTTCGAGGGCAACGATTGGGTCATGATTCTCTACTCTCTTATGCTTACAACCCACTAATCTAATCACGAATTCCTCCTTAATTTCGGATATTTGAATGAAAAATGGGGAAAACCTCATAGACCAAACTATTGAGTTTTGAGTGGGTGTTTGACCTCCGATTTGGGAGATTCTTATATGGTTAGACTCGTGAGAGTACGAGGGTTCTAAAAATATGCAAATTATCCGGTTCCGAGATGTTGGCCTGAGGGGCATTTTGGTCATTTTACTTAAATTCGCGTCTTAGCTTTAAATTAAATAGTAGAATCAGTTGCTTGAGATATTATTTACGATATGTAATTGAATTGAATAGATTTGGGCCATTTGGAGTCGGATACTCGTGGCAAAAGTGTGGTTTCGAGTTGATTTTGGAGCCGGTTTGAGGTAAGTGGCTTGTCTAACCTTGTGTGGGGGACCTTCCCCTTAGGATATGATATTTGGTAATTGAATGCCTTGTACGTGAGGTGACGAGCGCGTACTTGAGCTAATTGTTGAAAATGCGATTTTACTTAAATATTTAATCTGCGTTTCTTTCTTACCTGCTTTATTCCATTTGCAATTATAGCCTGTGTTAGATTAGAAAAGCATGCTTAGTTGATCTAAATTGCCTATTATCTTAAGTTGCTTTGTTTGTACTACATGAAGCATGTTAGGCTAGAACTACCTGTTTGCCTTGTATTTTTGAACTTCATTTCTGAATATCTTCTTGTTGTGACTGCGTATTCACATTGGGACTACGGATGTGGGATTCTGGTAGCTCCCCCCCCCCCCCTTGTTTATTTACTTTGGGACTACGGGTTAGATTCCCGGTAGATCCCCCTGCACATTTACTTTGGGACTACGGATTAGATTCCCGGTAGATCCCCCTGCACATTGATAGTTGGACTACGGTATAGCATCCCGGGAGATCCTTCGGATATACTCATATGATGGACTACGGGACGGTGTCCCGGGAGCTCCTTGGACAGTTGATGAAATAGACTACAGGACGGTATCCTGGGAGATCCTCGTTGTTGGTATTGATATTGAGCTGTTTTACTCTGTGTTATCTTATTCCCTGCATGTTAATTGTTGCCTTGTCTAACCTGTCTTACTTCGTAGCTGTACCCATTACCTCCGTTTATTTCATGCCGTTGCAAGACTTATTATTTTGTTTATTCTCAGTAGGGCCCTGACCTTCCTCGTCACTACCTAACCGAGGTTAGGGTTGGCACATACTGAGTACCGCTGTGGTGTACTCATGCCGCTTCTGCGCATGTTTTTCATGTGCAGATCCAGGTACTTCATCCCAGGCGTATCACTCTCGAGGCGGAGAGATCTAGCAGAGACTTCGAGGTACATCTGCCGCGTCCGCAGACCAGGAGTCTCTATCTTATTCTAGCTTTACCAGTTAGCTTTTCCTTTCGTACTTTTGCTTTAGACATTCTGGAGTTAGAGCCGTGTATTACTTTCCGTTAGCCTGTGTTCCCGTGAGTTTCCGGGTTTTGGGATGATATTGTAGGCTTCCGCGCTATTGAGTTGTATATGCCGAGCGGCATTTATATATAGTTTTCCTTCTAGTTGTTTAGTTTAATTAATTGTTTCCGCAAGTTATGTTATTTCCGCATTTTTAGGCTTACCTAGTCGTAGGGACTAGGTGCCATCACGACATGTTCACGGAGGGCGAACTGGGGTCGTGACAACAGAATTCCTTATCTAGAATTTCTGGTTCGTAGGCTCTTAAAAAATAAAATTTCCTCGATTTGGGATTTAAAATATACCGATGACTTGGGACACCAAATAAATTATCCCAAGTGGTGACTCAAATTTAGAATAAATAATCCCATTTTAGATAATGTCACTTAAATTGGAAAAACTCTCATATACCCCCCCTCGGGTGGTAAAAAAGGAGGTGTGACAGCTCTGGCGACTCTGCTGGGGACAAGAACCCAGAACTTTCGATTCAGGGTTCAAGAATTCGAGCTTGTTAATGTGATTTTATTTGGCTTTATTGTTGATATTACTGCATTTTGTGGACTTAATGTGCTAATTGTCATTTACCTCTTTGATATTATTTGGACTGTATTTAAAATGTCTTCTTACGCCTCCCTTCTGAGTCTTCTGAAAAAATGGCACTCACGTTCGGGTGGCCTACTTTTCTGTTAGAGTTACACCAAATACAACGGGGCTGGGCAAGCAACAAAGCCGGGCAGACTTTCATGCTCCCGGTACGTTTCCCCCTCCTCGACTCGAGTTTGTCCGCTCGGGTAAGCTATGTATAGAACATAAACCCAGGTTTTAAAACCTAGAATAACTCAGCCTCACGCCGGATCCCTAGTAGGAACGATTATTTGCATCACGTGCATTTGACCTTGGGGACTCAGCATAGAGGTTGGGTTTGTCTAGGACAGGTGTACCCAAAATAAAGACCATTAAGATGCATCCTACGTGCTATGTGAATATTTATATGTTTCGGCTTGCATGTAGACCGGCTAGGAAAAGGAAATGAAGAGAAAAACAAAGAGTGAGGTAGGATAGAGAATTTACCCGGGTCTAAAAAAATCTCGGTATTTAAAAATATCTCGAAACTCTGCCTAAATTTTTGAAAAGATCTTTTAAACATTTTGCATATGTAGCTACAAAATATATTGTAGCTAAATATAAAATTTCACTAGCTAAACCCTTTAGCCACAATAATTTTTTCCGTAGCATTCGTAGCAAAATGTAGCGTAACTAAAAGCTAGCTACAAACTTTATATGATCCGGCTAAGAAATAATACTTATTGCTACGAATATGCTCTGCATTGTAGCTATATTGATAATACTTTTTTTCTACGAAATATATACTCATAGAAAATAATCTTAGTCTTTTGGCACGACAAATAAACTATATAGCAATCTTTATATTTTTCCACAAAGTATTTTACTGTGGCAAAAGACTTAATTTGTTTGCCACAGAAATTCAACTCTTGTGGCTATTTTTATATTTTAGTTTCGTGACAATAGTATTTTTTTTAGCTACAAGTTCAAAAATTCATAGCTATGAATTGAAGTTTTTGCCACAAATATTTAGATAGATAAGAATCCATTCTAAATTTATAGCTAAAGATTTCTTCGTTTGCTACTAAAAGTGAGAATGTATAATCATATATTTGTTATGTGATATATATATATATATAAAACCACGAATTCAAACTTTTGTTGCCACAAATTAAAGAATCTGCTACAAGAATAACTTGTCACAATATTTTTAATAGTAGCTAAAATCCCAAATATTTTAGATTCCAAAACAAATTCAAAGTTACACATAAGGCTGTTAATAAAACACACACACACACACACACACACACACATATATATATATATATATATATATATATATATATATATATATATATATACAATTCTTCTACAAAACCATCAAGCTTGCTTGAGACACCGTCCTCTTCTTTTACTCATCTTTGGGTCTTTAACTGCACCTTATCTTGGTCTTAACTAGTCATTACTCTAATTCCACCAACTTACCTGTCAATGAAAACATATTTTAACACCAAGCAAATGTAACTGATCATATATGTTTAACAGGTACAACTGAATTAAAACTTTAACACGGAAGTAAGTTCGATTAGCAAAAATGTTGATAAAATTTCAAGCAGACAAAAAACATATCTTGATAAATATTTTTACAAGAATTCTAACAGATAACAAAAGAAAAAAAAGCAACAAAAGAAGTAAAAAAGAAAATTTTGAACACTTTTGAAACAACTTAAATGATCTTCATCACAATTTTGTAATATTGCTTTTCGGTTACAGCCGATGGACTATGGCTCCTCCCAACATTATAACTTCAAAATCTTTAAATTCCCAATCGCTACTTATTAAACAAAAAAGATACAATATCTATCAAATTGCTGGAATAGTCTACAAAATTGTACCCAAAAATCCAAGTGAATACGTATAAAAAATTCGGAAACCCTAAAATATAGAGATATGGGCTTACCTTTTCTGTCTAAGAATAAAAAAGCGATGGGTTAAAGAATGGAATGGAAAAGTGGGGAAAGGGAGGTGACGGCGTGAGAGAAGGGAAGTCAGACTAGTTTAGGTTTTAGGGATTTGCTTTGGGCTATATAGCCTTTGTCCTTTTCTTACTTTAATATACTCCCATCGGTCTAAAATAAGTAACTTTTTAGGTATTCTCATACAGATTAAGAAATCCACCTTTTAGTATTAATTAGCAATAGAGTTGACCATATTAATCTTGATTATCTCACATAAACACTCCTAACACATATTCCAACACTATTTACTCCATGGACAATGTAGGAAAAAATAATTAATTCATTCTTGAAATCTGAAAAAATCACGTATTTTTGGACCACAAGAAAAAGGTCAAAAAATCACTTATTTTGGACCGGAGGGAATATACTAATATATATTTTTACTTTCTTTTATTTCTTAATCAATACACGCAATATATTAAATGCAAAAAAATGTAAGTGTTAACAAATATGACTCAAAAGCTTACCCACCAAAAAAACAAAAAGAATAAATATTTAATTTATAATAATTAACATAGAAACAATAAACTATTTAAAAAGAATAAATATATTCTAAATTGCCTTTTTTAAAGCTTCCTTCGTACTATATGATATTGTTAGTTTGTTATATGCTGCTATTTCAATTATATCAATTTTTAATTTTTTGTGCTTAATTAGATTTATGATAATTATTAAGTTATTAAAATAGCATTAGACCATTAATTATGCTTATTCAAATTGAATACAATTAGATATCACATATAATACTTTGTAATACAATTAGATTATATTAGAAAGTCCAATGTAATACTTTGTTTAGTATGAATTATGATATACTAGTTAATTTTTTTTATAAACTTATTTATCAACAATATTTAATTCTTAGAGTTTTGAAATAAACAATAATAACATTGAAATTATTTAAATTTATAAAATATTCAATAATAGTCATAATAGAGACACTACCCCTTCTTGTATAGTTATATTAAATTCTTAATTCTTTGATTCGATGTATAATATAAATAATTTGTTGTACAATTTAATTGGTATAAGATTATATTTGTTTAAATTCGATGTTATTAGGCATGATATAGGTTCATTGGTATTTAATTATAATTGAAAGTTATAGGTAAGACTTGTTTAATAAGAATTATAATATAATAGTTTTTTTATCGAGTTAGATTTCATGTATATTAAACTCTTAATTCTTAGCGTAATTAAATATAAGAAATTAAGCATTTATAATCTTTACATATTGTAAAAATCCTAAGATTACACATCTTATGAGGTATATCCATAACCATAACTAAGTATGTTTGAACATACTTATTAAAATAAAAATTAAATTATTAATAAAAACTTTTTATGTATTTACTTTTATGAAATTTAACAAAGAAGCTAAATATATTTTGAAACATATATTATTTCGAAACTCATAACAGGATATCTCATTTTTATTTTAGTTTGTTTTTTATTCATTTGCTTCAAAGTTATTTTAAATTTACTTAGTTGAATGGAATTTCATTTGTGTAATATTTTTATTATATAAGAGGTTTAAATATTTCTAGAAAAAATCGGAGTAACATTATTATATTTAAGAGCTTCAACGGATGAAACTATTATGCAAAATCCGCAAAAATTCTAGTCTTCTAAATAAATAATTTGTATTAATTTTCTATTAAGAGTTTCAAGAGATACGTGACAAAAAATATTTTTTTTAATCAATGACGTTAATAAAGATTTCAACAAAATATTTGTTTTCTTCTTAAAATATCATAAAAATAAGTACATAAAAATTTATTTATTATTTTAATTTATCATTAATCATTATATTTTAAGAAATCAGTTATAGATATACCTCAGAGAGGGTGTAAGTGAAGAATTTCAATAATATAGGGGATGTGGGTTAAAATTCAAAATACAATGGATGTATCTGATCCATTGTATAGGGGATGTGGGTTACACTCAACATCACACTGTTGCGGCGCGCAACCCGATCCAAATTACATAGATCTTGCATAAGGAGATTGCACATCGAGCTAAATTGCTCATTACAATAAGACACCGAATTTCGGTCACAAGCACGCTAGGTGCATAATACCATCCCTGAGGGGACATATAGCGCTATAAGCTACAAAACTCAAGCACAATTGAGGTGCAATATACAACCTAAATCTCAAAAGCCATTTTGCTCATAATACATCATTTCTACGCGGATCCTCAACACATAAGCAATTTCTCAAGCCGTCTCACAACTCACATGGCGCAATGCATCACTACATGAAATATCTGCTAACGAAATAACACCCTGACTACTCCTCCATAAGGAGCGCACTACTGAAATGAACACGTTTGGCATGATACAGAGCCCATGTTCACATTTGAATCCATCCACCGTCCTCGAGTTGATTCTGGTCGTACTGACTAGGCTGATAACCTTTCCAAGGTCCATAATAACTCTCCTTTCTTTCATAACGCATAAGAACAACCATCATAACCGGAGAAATCCTCCACAGCCCACAACTTAATAGACTGAGTGCCCTCCAGGCATAGATTCTCAAATCAACGATATTATCACAACCTTCATATTTGGTTTATATCTTTAATCAATCAAGTGACTACGTGCCACATTTATGCAATCTTCCTGTGGGACACCCCCCCACACTCTACCATAACAAATAACTGGGTCTTACCTCCAACCCACCGGCCACACTAATGCTGCAAGGCGATCAAGAATCATTGACCATGATACAAGCCCCTTTTTACAATACAACAATCTCAGGTGACGCTGAAGACAATACCAACTTACTTTAAACATCGAAACTCCTTTCCTGCTCATCCGAGCTTGTGACATCCTTGTCCACACCGAACTGCAGCTTTGATTCTCATTTCAAATTCCATACTACTCGCTGCAACTGACATGCCAATGTACAGAAGGACATGATTCTTCATCATAATTCCAGAATTGCTAATAGATTAATACTTCATCACATCAAAGCTTTTCACTAAACTCACTTTAGGAGAACCGTAGCAACACACAGGTTAATACTCATAACCGTAGAATGTGCAAACATCTAGGTAGTGGTGTAAGACACCATAGCCCTACCGGAATTCGCTTCCACATAACAAGCCATAACATAAGAATGCTTCTCAATAATATCAATTACGGCGGCTGACAAGCCTCATACGCACTATCACAACTCACTTGCATAACTCGATCACGCTGAGGAAACTGATCGCTAAGACCAATTTGCCAAATTTAACTATGGCCAATCAATCTACCTTCTCCCAATTTATCCTTGATTGCCTTAGAGATAACACTAACTCCATCCGTCACATATCATACTCCACCTGCACTCATCTCGAGTGACCTTGAATCACGAGACCATGCTGTCTCAAATCTCACGAACTGTTTTCACACCTCCCAATTGCTATATCACCAGTCAAAACATCACAGAACGTTCTGAGCATCCATTCATAAGCTGCTGCAAAGGCTTGATTCTCAACTGCACCCATAGGCTCGAAATCATTAGGCACCACACTATACCCCTTTTAATCCATTAGGACCGTTGCTGAGAGACACCCGCTCTGATTTGGCCCCGAATATAATTAACTCCATGAGTCTTCCATCACATGAATACCCCCTTAGCGAAGAACCCGCCGAATCACTTCCCTTGGAACCCACATCTATACAAAGCAAAATCCTGAATCTTTCCCCAAGTCTAAGCATGGTCCAATAAGGCCAACGATAGCCCACCTTTAATAATTGCTTTGCTTAGATTACCATTTATGGTCTTTCCCCGTAGCTGAAATAGCCCATCAATATGCTAATAACCAGAAACCTCGCAAGTAATTAACTTTGCAACCCCATCATCAGCGGTGGGACTCTCCCACTTAGCTTGAAGCCATTATTTCACAACTCTGTAATTCACCAAGATTCCCTAGCTTTCATCGACATAACCTTGCGCGATCAACCGCCAAAGTTCTCGATATCTTTCTGTAAAACCCCCTCCATATATTCTGGCTCATCAAACACATTTGCACAACCGATCTCCTTGCTACATAACTGATGAAATTCTTCGCAGAAGCCTCGCCAACCATGCGACCGCTAACCTGCTCACTTGGGTAACCCACCTATAGAAGGCTCTCCCCGGCATCTTCCAACACTGCTGCACAGGGTACAATCACACGACATCAATGACCCATCCTGAGTCTGAGCTCACTCTCCAGCTGCACAGGTCCATTTACCCCTCGTGGACATCATTTAGGTGTGCGACAACATCCTTCCATTTCAGAGTTATGCTGCATCCTTCTCCATTTAAGCGGCTCCCTTCCGTTATATTAAATTTTCGGCCGCACAAGAACCCCTACTTCAAATTAGATCTGTAGACCCCAATAACCAAGAACCAACATTCTCAAATTGCTCCAAACTCTCCTTAAGGCACATAGTCGTCTTATCACCAAGCCCCTACGCAGCTCCGCCTCTCTCCCGCTTTGGGCAAACTCTTCTTTAATCAACTGCTCGGCCCGCGCTTCCTAAATTTGGCCTTTTAGAAGTTTAAAACTCCGCCTGATACTTCCCATATGTCTTTATCATCTTTTACTGCTTAGTTGTTGCCTTAATAAAATTTATCTTTATAGAACTTGAATCCATCATTTGCTACTAGCTCCAAACTTTTCCGAAGGTCATCTTTCTCGAACCGTCAACATTAGAAATACTGATTCAATCCCGAACCACCGTACCCTGCGATATCTGACAGTTGTAACTCTGATACTGTTTCACAATGTCTTGCCCCAAAGGCGAATTGTAGAAGATTATAACATCGGCAACTTAATACGTTCAATTAGGACAACAACACCCCATCATAGAAGAAAACTCTACCACGCTTGCAATTACCAAGTCTCGTTACTCCCACCAGTCCACATCTGACCATCCTTAGTTCGATTACCTTTCCCCCTGTCGGGAAATAAAATACTGAATCTCTTGATTATGCACTGAGTAAACCTCCCTTGAAGTCATCCACTGCCGCGACACGTGGGCAACACCCTACCATCATATCACTACTATAGAATA